CCTCCGGCTCGCGCTTCACAGCCCGCCGTGCGGCGGCCCTCGTGCCCGGACCCCGGCTGACGGACGGGCCACCGTCTGCCGCACTGCCAGTCACCCCGTGAGCCGGGGGCCGACTCCAACTCTGGGAGCGACCCCAGAGTGTCTCCTGAGACGTACGTGTGCTTTCGTGGCCACGTCAAGCCATGGCTGTGCCTGACCCCGGGGACAGCGCAGGGCGCAGCCCGCCACCGGCCCAGGAATGCAAATCCTCACGGCGCATGGAAAATTAACGTCGTTCACCCCGCTGCAGGAAAAACAGTAACAACGCGAGACTTTCTCCACGAGAGCCAAGACGAGGTCCACAGAACTCGACATCTCTTCTCGACAGCGGTGCCCAGGGCTGGGCGCAACGGTGCACCTCGTTTGAGAGCACGCCTGCTCAGAAGTGAATGCCACCCTGTCCCCAGAGAGGGTGCTGGGGTTGGCCCCTAAGAGCACGCACACATGCTGTGCACACACACGTGAGCGCACGGGAGCGTGCACGACCCCAGCACCGGTACCTGTGTGTGCGTACACGTGCACACGCACTCTCGCCACGGCTGACGTGTTCCCCAGGAGTGGTCAGCGTCAGGGACAGGGAGGGAGGCGGCCTCAGGGCAGCCGGCAGCCTACCCCTTCCCAGGGTGCTGTCCTTCCCCCTCCCATGCTCCCCCGTGGTTAACCGCAGCTTCAGTCTCCTGGTTCCTGTTTGGGGCTCAGGCTGCCTGGCCCCCCACGGGCACCGGCAGGCGGGGCAGGGTGCCGGACACAGCCGGGTCTGGCATCCCGCACCCCAGCCTCGCGTGCTCCAGGGGGCTGTTTCTTCTCATCCATACAAACCGAGGACCTGGCACCCAAGCAACAGGCCAGAACCACCAGTGGGGCACGCGGGGACCCATTTCCTGCCCCCCACGGCCCAGCCCGTGTGCAGTGTGGGGGGCTGCCCTGTCCTCGGGGGCTCACCGACACCCCTATGGGCATGAGGTCGGTGCCACTTAAACGTGGACTGCTCGGAACAGGACAAACCGCCGGTCCTAACGGTCCAGCACCGCAATTATGTTGAGGCTTGCGCCCCGCTGTGCAGGCGAGGCGCTTCGGTGCCGTGTAGCGTTTTACGTGGTCAAAAGACGAAAAGCAGCAACCCCCGAAACCCCGGGAGCCACGGAAGCCGGAGGCAGCAGGCGCTCCGAGACCAGACGCAGAGAAGCGACGCCGAAGGACCACGTGGGCACGGGGCACGGGTGAGGCGCGAGGCGGGAGGCCGGGGGCACGCGACGACGCGCTGCCCGTGCCGTCGGGCTGGTAGCGCCCGCGCCCTGCCTTCCGACACGCCTGTGGAACGCTCCTGGGTGGCACGGCGTGGGGCCGGAGATGCAGGCTGGGGACACGTGGGACCGCCCGACCTCGGTTCCCTCTGCTTAACGTTCGCACGACAGAGGGACAGAGGCTACAGAACAGCACTCGCTGCGTTTTGCATCTGAGGAGAGGACGTTCAGGAAAGTGGGGTGCTCGTGCGGGTGCGTGCGCACCGCCACGCGTCCGGCACCTGGCCAGGGCTCGTGCGGGTGCGTGCGCACCGCCACGCGTCAGGCACCTGGCCAGCAGCCCTGGCTGACATGCCGGGCTCGGTCTGGACCTCAGCTGGGACGGGGTGTGCGAGGGTGATTGGGGACGTCATTGCTTTTGGCCATAAAATGCCTTCTCATCGGGCAAGAGACACAGCAAAGGCGGCGTGTGACCCTGTGCCACTGAGGCCCAGCTAAAAGGCCCAGCGCCTGGCCGCCCCGCCCAAGGGTGGGGGCCCAAACACATGTGGGTGGAACCCAGGTCCCTGTGAGGAGAGTCCTGCCAGGTGACAGGCCAGGGTGAGCCTGCGGGTGCGGGTGGGGGTGGGGGTGGGAGGCTCCTGCAGGGGGCAGCAGGAGAGGACCCGGGAGCTCGGCAGAGAGCCGGCTGGGAGGGGGGCCGTGACCCCGGCGTGTAGCTCCCCGGAAACTGGCGCCCTGTGCCAGGCTCGCCCGGCGCTGACCGGAACGGGGGCAGAGGTCAAGCATGTGAGCGAGGGTCCTGAGGGCAGCAGGGAGCAGAGAATGTGTCAAGAAAAGCCCCTGGGGGAGGGCGGGAGGTCCTCAGTTTCCCCTTTCTGGAGAGAAGGTCCCAGCCAGGCCCCCCTCCCCTCCCCGCCCCGCAGGCCAGGGAGCAGGGGTCAGGGAGCGGTGAAGCCCCAGGCCTGTCGGGAGGCCCACGGAGGCCTGGAGGGGCCGGGCCCCCGCATCTCAGCACAGCGCCCTCGGCCCAGGCTGCCAGCCCAGCAGTACCACTCCACGAGGAATGTTCCAGAAGCAGCATGGCTGTTGTTTGTACTGCACATGGCTTCAAGCAGCACAGGATTGACTCGCCCGCCTGGCGGATGCTGCCCGGCCACCGCCCAAGCTCTGTGTCCCAGACAAACCTGGTGGCAGCTGGTGCTGGGAGCGAGGCGGGGCAGAGGCCCTCTGCATGCAGGGCGCACGGAGGCTTCAGGGCTGGGGTGGGCGCTGGGCAGGCGGTCACGTGCAACCCCGACCCAACAAAGCTCAGAGCAGACACAGCATCAGCCCATCACCCAGCCGTCCTAGGGTGGCACCACTCACGAGCCTGGGCTTCACGTCCCAAACGCGTCCAGCAGCCAGTGACCACACCGCCCGTACCTCATGCAGTGGACCCGGGGGCCCTCTCCCGTAGCTCACCCCGAGCCCCACTCTGGGGGACTGTGGGCCTGGGACCAACAGAGAAGGGCGAGGGGGGTTAACTAGGGCGTCTCCCCTGCACCCTGCCCGGCCCCGGGGCACCCTCACTTGCTGCCACCTGTTTGCCAGGTCTGGTGCTGCCCACCCCGCAGCACGGGGTGAACCCACCCGTGGCAGCGTCCGCCTCACGGGGAAAGGAAGCAGACGCGGACGATGACAGACACACAGCGTGGGCCGAGTGCAGACCCTGAGGAAGAGCTCGGGGGAGCGGGGTGGGGGACCGCAGGGTGGGGCTGAGGTCCCGCGGAAGGATAGGGTGCAAGGAGGGGCCCCGTCCCCCATGTCCCCCTTGCCAAGACCTCTGCTGTCCACAGCTGACCACGCCTTCCTGTCCTCTGCTGCAGCTGTCAACGTTCCAGCCCGGAGCCTCGAGACAGCCGGCTCTGCACAGACCAGGCTCCTCACCGGCACTGGGCTCTCGTGATCTCGCCCACGTCTGAGCATCGGTCCAGCCCACAAGCCTCGCAAAGCTCCCAGAGCCAGCCCAGCCCCAGACGGAGCACGTGCGTCCCCAAAGCTCCCGGAGCCTGGAGGCTCGGCACGGGGCCATCCTTGGAACCTGGCCTTTGCAGACGGAGTTAGTGGAGAGACCACGCTGGGGCAGGTGGCCCTCATGAGAGGGAGGGCAGACCCAGGCGGGGCTGCCAGACCCCGAGAGGTGACGTGGGAAACCAATGAGGTGCTGGGGAAGCTACAGTCCCTCGGCCTCCTTACCAGGACACTCGCAGGGGGGGCCGGGGGCAGGGCAGGCACCCGTCCAGTCCAGTGCATGGGGGCCCTCACTCCTCCGGGGCTCCTGCCCCCACCCCGGCCCCTGGCAGGAGGCCTTCGCCTGCTCCTGTGCCGTCCACCAAGGGCGCCAGGGTTAAGCACGTGTGACGCACCAGCAGGGCAGTCACCCTCGTTCCAGACCAGGACACACACGCAACGGCAGGGCCGGCCCAGACCGCTCCCCGCCCCACTCAGGGCTGGGGTTTGGGGAGCGCCTGCGGGCTCAGACCCCACCCAGAGGATGTCCCACGATCACGCCCGGACGCCGTCAGTCACCGCCCGCAGGAGCCCCAGCCTATCTGCGCAGCGGCCGTCACTGGGGCCCGAATTCTCTGCTCTGGGGTGACGTCCCCACGTCTGCGGCTTCTCGGGCCATTTCCTGGGGCAGGCTCCGACATCCCCCTTGGTGGGCGAGCAGCGCTTGTACCTTGCCCTCTCGCGACAGGCCCACCAGGCCACCTCACAACTCAGAGCGTGGTGACCGCAGGCCCCAAGGGATGGTCCTGGTTCCGGGCAGTGAGGCCCTGAAGGGGACACCACGGGGGGCCCGAGCTGCCCTGGCCACGGTCAGACTGGAGGGGCGGAGGCCAGGAAGAGATGTGTTCCTCTAAAGACAGACACAGTAAACACGCAGCCACCACGACAGGCTCACGACACGGAAAAGCTTGACAAAGGCAGGCCGAGGGGCCGGCACCGCACCGTGGAGGCCAGCACGGTGTCCCGGGTCCATCCCACCTTTCCCCTATGCTTACCTTGTTACAGACACAGAGTTGTCACAAGTAACACTTTGTAAACTGCTTCTCTCTCAGAGATGCCATCTGTGTCGAGGACAACAGTTTGTGTCACTTAGGGGCTGGCTGTGCCTGGTGGGGCCACTGTGCTGACCTCTGGCCACGGGGACTGGGGCTCCTACTGCAGCCTCCATGCTCCCATCTCTCCGATTCCAGCTCCTGTGACGTGTCCAACTGTGCGTGCAGCACCGCGTCTGTCTCTGCCAGGAAAGGGGCCGGGGCACAGGCTCCAGCTCTGCTCGGCGCCCCCGTGCTGGACAGCACTGCAGCCTGGAGGCCCGGAGCACCAGGCACGTGGACATGCCAATGTGATGGCCCACGCTGCTGCCCGCCCCACACACCACGCAGCCCGGGGCAAAGTGCTGGCTCTCCAAGCTGTCCTGCAAGTGACCGAGCGGTCACCCTGCAGAGCCCTGCCCAGGCTCAGAGCTGCTGCTGGTGGCAGCCCTGGCCTCTGAGCCACACGTCCCCGACTGCCCCGGCACAGCACGAGCCCCACTCCCGTCCGTGATCCGGGAAAGGAAGCCACTCCCTTCACGTGCTAAGTCCACGTCTGCACCCTTCAGCCTGGCGCTGCTCATGATGCGTCCTGCTCCACGGCGTCGGGACAGAGGGAAGCACGAGCCTCGGCCTGAGTTCGCAGGGTGTTTATTGACGCCTCGGGGCGCGGCCCACCCACCTCCAAACCAGTGAACACGCAGAGCGGGGCTGCCTGCACGATGGTGAGGACGTGGCCCTCGCCAGCACGGCACACCCCAGGCCAGGTCAGAGCAGCCCACCGCCACCCAGCTGCATCTGCCGTGCCAGCTGCTGCCCGATGGCCAGCAGGGGGCTGGCTCTGTAGGCCGGACTGGCCAGCAGCTCCTGAAAGCGGGTCCTTTCTTCCTCGCTGAAAGAATCAAGGTCAGAGGTCAGCAGACCCCACAGCCCGGGTGGGGGCACAGGAGCATTCAGCACCTAGGACCCACCTTGGCTGAGCCACCCCACGCCCTGGCGCCTCAGGGAAGGCTGGACCCTGGAGTGGACAGGACAGGCCGGGGTCAGCACAGGGAGGGACACTGGCAGCAGCTGGATGTGGGGTAGGGAGTGAGGGCCTGTGAAACTGCCCCGAGCTCCTGGAGCAGGCAGCCCTGCTGGGTGTCTGAGGCGGTCTGAGGGCTGAGCAGGGCTTCAGGCAGGAGGGTAGAGGCTGCCCTGAGACTGCCTCACGGTCCCAGTGACCCTGGAGACACTGTGCCCACCCAGGAGGGTGGGGGGTGCTGGCACCCAGGGAGGGGGTTCTAGGCCCCCAACTTGACCTTGACGGGGAGCTGCTATTAAATGGAACAGGCTGCCAACGCTGAAGGCAGCAGCCTGCACGCACCCTGCACACGTGTGCCCTTACGTAAGAGGCGCCCGCCCTCCACGCTGCCTAAGCCAACTGGACAGTGCAGGGCCAGAGGGCCAGAGCTTGGCACCCCGCAGCCCAGGCCAGCTCTGCTCACCGAGGGGTGCTGCAGCCCCCAGAGGGGACAGGAGGGGCACCCTTCCTCCTGCAGGAGGCCCTGGGCACCCTCCCCCCAGTCCACAGTGGTGCCTGCTGCTCTCTGCGCCTAAACCCAGCCATCTGCCAGCAGTGGGCGTGGTCATGCCGCCTCTGGAAACACTGGGGCCAGCTCGAGCTCTGCGGGCCCTGAGGCCCAGCTGTGGCTGCTGGTCACCGGCTAGGGGCTCCTGCAGAATAACCCCACTGGACTGTCCCAGCCACGTGACACACTCAAGCCTCCTGGGACAGCGGAGGTTCCGACAAGGACCTGAGCCCAGTGGCAGCTCCCCTCACCACCCCGGGGGAAGGGGCTTCCTAGCCCCACTGGGAATAGGCTGCTTCACGCCAACTTGGCTGTGCCCCAGAGCTGCCCCCAGCCAAGCTGGCCAGAGCGCCCAAGGGAACTAGCTGGGTTGGGGCACCTGGCCAGACAGGGACAGTCCTGGGGGTGGGCGAGGAGGGAGGCGGGGGCCCTATCTGGCGGTGGGCGGTACTCACAGCAGCTGCAGCCTCTGAGCCGCGCTCATCCTGCTCAGCTCGGCCGGCCGGGGCCTGCTGCCTGCCCTGCGGGGACAGAGAAGCTGGTCAGCGCCACCCGCTTCACCTGGACCGGCCTGGGAGCGCATCTCTAAGGTCGTGACCACAGAGGACTTTTGGATTACGCTGGGACCAGCTCTCTTGTCACCGAGCACGACTCTGGGAGAATGCGGGCTGGGGCAAGAGGGGAGAAGCTGCCTTGTCCTGGCCAACTCCTTACCTTGGCCCCCAGACCAGGCCTCGTCTTTCATTCACATCCTTTAGAAATACTAATGAAGGCACTTCCGGGCCACCCAGGACGGCGCGTGGGCCACCCTCCCTTCGCCCTGACTCTGAACTCGGTCCCGACTCCCTCCACTCCTCCCGCCCCTGCTCCTGCCCCCACCTGGACGAGGGTCCCTTGCTGAGCCAACTCCTTACCTTGGCCCCCAGACCAGGCCTCGTCTTTCATTCACATCCTTTAGAAATACTAATGAAGGCACTTCCGGGCCACCCAGGACGGCGCGTGGGCCACCCTCCCTTCGCCCTGACTCTGAACTCGGTCCCGACTCCTTCCACTCCTCCTGCCCCTGCTCCTGCCCCCACCTGGACGAGTGTCCCTTGCCGACCCCCTACAGGTCCCATGGAGCGCATGCCTGCAGAACCGGGGCTTGGCCCCCCTCCCGCCAGCCCGTGTCCCCAGACAGCAGCCACATGCTGGCAGGTGAGAATGGGGTCCAGCACACCCTACGGCCAGGGCCTCGGGCTATGGTGCTCCACCCCAGACTAAAAGACCAAGTGGCAGGTCGACTGAGGCCTCCCACAGCCCCACTGGCCCCAGGATGCATCTGGGAGGCCCCTCAGCACCCACGGGGCCAAGTGGCTGAGCCCTCCTCGCTCAGCCTCAGGGCCTTCCCGGGCCCGGTCAGCAGCTTCCCACACACGCGCGACGTCATCCTAGGTGGGCCTTCCCCGAGTCAAGGACACTGCACTCACAGCCAGGCCAGGCGAACCCCCTTCAGCAGAGGCACAGGGGCTGGGCTTTCCCATGTAGCGCCCACCCCCAAGCTGCCCCCGCTGTCCGGGCAGGCCTGGCCTCCAGCCTGCTTGGACACCCCACCGCTGAAGGCCCTGGCTCTGGCTGGAGAGCCTGGCTCTGGCTGCAGGGCCGAGTGGGATGGGCAGTGGGGGGAAGCCCGCCTGCCAAGACTGCTGTGCAGCTCCCAAGCACACGGCCCGCTGGCCGGGGGCCCACAGAGGCTCTGGGGCAGAAGAGGACCGCTGC